TCCATAAGGGGATTCCATAGGGGATTTGTGGGTGATCCATAGGGGATCCCTAAGGGATTCTAAAGGGGATCCATGGGGGGATCTATAGGGGATTCCATGGGGGATCTATAGGGGATTCCATGGGGGATCCATAAGGGGATTCCATGGTGGCCCCATGGGGGATCTATGTGGGATCTATTGGGGTTTCATGGGGGATCTATAGGGAACCCATAAGGGGATTCCATAGGGGATTTGTGGGTGATCCATAGGGGATCCCTAAGGGATTCTATAGGGGATCCATAGGGGGATCCATAGGGCCCTGCAGCCCAGCGGGGGGCGCTGTCCCGTGCGCCGCCCCCTATAGGGCGCCTATAGGGCACAGCAAGGCCGGGGTCACCTACGGCCGGGGCAGCCGGACACAGCCCCGGCACACGCCGGCCCCTACACACCCTATAGGGGACTCACCCTATGGGGGACTCATCCTATAGGGGACTCATCCTATAGGGGACTCATCCTATAGGGAAACCCTACACATTCTGTAGGGGAATCGGATAGGGGAACCCTACACATTCTATAGGGGAATGATCCCATAGGGGACTCGTCCTATAGGGAATCCTATAGGGCAACCCTACACATTGTATAGGGGACAGGAGCTCCTGAATCCCCTATAGGAGATCCCAAATTCCCCTATGGAAAATCCCAAATCCCCCTATGGAAAATCCCAAATCCCCTATGGAAAATTCCAAATTCCCCTATGGAAAATCCCTATGGACGAAGGCTCCGGATCAGAGCTCAGGTAAGGCGGGAAAAAACCGGCTGGAATTTGGGGAAAGATCTCTGGATTTTGGGGAAAAAGCCTGGAATTTGGGGGGGAAAAATCCGGGATTTTGGGGAAAATTCTGGATTTGGGGGGAAATCCTGGAATTTTGGGGCAAAAATCCTGGAATTTGGGGAAAAAAATCCAGGATTTAGGGAAAAAAAACCCTGGAAATTTGGGAGAAAACCACCTGGAGCCCAAAATTCCCGGAATTTTTTCGGGAATTCCTCCCACAAAGGCGTGAGGGTCTCTCGTGGCCCCCCCACGTAAGAACCGGAGGCAGAAAATTGGGACCAAATCCCGAAATTTGGGGAATTCCCGGAATTCCAACGGGAATGAACCTGGGAACGACGCCCGACAGAGGGAACGAAATTTGGGGAATTCCCGGAATTCCAACGGGAATGAACCTGGGAACGACGCCCGACAGAGGGAACCGGGTCGGGAAAATCCAGGAATTTGGGAATTCCCGATGGAAATGAGGATCCTGGGATTTTGGGATGAAATTTGGGGATTTGGGGATGAAATCTTGGGAATTCCAGGGAAATTCTGGGATTTTTGGGGGGAATTCCAGGGATTTTTGGGGAGATTTTGAGGGATTTTGGGAAAATTTCAGGGATTTGAGGATTTTTGGGTGGAATTTGAAGGATTTTGAGGAGAATTTGGGGAATTTTGGGATGAATTTCGGGAATTTTGGGCCAAAACGGGGAAATCCCAGGAATTTTGGGGGAGATTTTTTTTAGGGATTTTCGGAGCTTTTTTAAGGGAATTTTTGGGAATTTTGGGGGTTTTTTTCTTTTGTTTTTTTGGGAATATTTTTTGAGCTTTAATTCCAATAAAATTCCCTCGTTTTTGAGGCCTTTCATGAAATTTTAATAAAGATTCGGATTTAAATCGATTTGAAATGAATTCCTTCGTTACTGGGAGTACTGGGAGCTCCTCCTTCCCCTCCCCCAAAATTCCCTCTTTTCCCCCTCCAAAATTCCTTTTTTCCCCCCAAAAAATTCCCTTTTTTCCCTCCAAAAATTCCCTTTCCCCCCCCCAAAAATTCCCTTTTTCAGCTCCAAAAATTCCCTTTCTCCCCCTCCAAAAACTCCCTCTTCCCCCTCCAAAAATTCCGTCTTTTCCCCCCAAAAAATTCCCTTTTTCCCCCAAAAAATTCCCTCTTTTCCCCCAAAAATTCCCCTTTTTCCCCCCCCAAAAAATTCCCTTTCCCTTCCAAAAAATCCCCTTCCCCTTCCAAAAAATTCCCGTTTTTTTCCCCGCCCATCCCGATTTTTTTTAATCACTATTTTTTTTACGGCAATGACGCAAAACTCCCGCCCGTGACTCAGAATTCGGGAATTCCCCCAAATCCCCGCCCCTCGAGCGGGCGTGGCCTCCTCAATAAACCACCCCCCATCCACCAATCAAATCGCTGCGTGGGCGTGGCTTCCTCTTCCCTTTATAACCCCGAGGCCGCGGGTTCGAATCCCAGCGTTTCCTGTGACGATGTCGATGGTGGCGGCGGCTGCGGCCACGGCCGCGTGTCCGGGGCGGTTTTGGGGACATCCCGAGAGTGTCCCCAAAGGGGTGGCACCGTCCCCACCTCGTCACTTCACCTTCGAACCCCTCCCGGCTCGCCCCGGCCCTTCCAGGCCTCGGCGACGGCATCGCCGCGTTCTTTATCCGCCCGCTGTGAGTATGGAAAGGGATTTTTTTGGGTTTTTTTTTTGGGGGGGGTTTCACCCTGAATTTGCAGCTTTTGGGGTCGTTTGGGTCACCTTAAATTTTTTACGTCCCCTATAGAACTCAGAAGTTCCCATAACCCCCCTGAACTCGCTTAAATTCGCCCGAAACTCGGAAAATTTGCCCCAAACTCCCCCCAAATTCACCCTAAACTTCCCAAACTCGCCCGGATTCTCCTCCAAATGGCCCTAAAAGCCTTAATTTTGCCCTAAATCTCCTACGAATTCGGCCCTAAACTTGCCCGAATTTGTCCTAAACCCCTCGAAACTCGCCCTGAACTCCAAATTCCTCCTGATCTGCTCCAAACTCGCTCTAAACGTCCCTAAATTCGATCTAAAGTTCCCAAACTCGCCCGAAAATTCCCTAAATTCGTCCTAAACGTCCCCAAATTCGTCCTAAACTTCCCCAAACTCGCCATAAATATCCCTAAATCCGTTTTAAACTTCCCAAATCCGCCCCAAATCCCCCCTAAACTCACCCCAAATGCCCTCAAATCCCCCGGTACCCTCCCGTACACCCCTTTATAAGCCCCAGATACCCCCCAAACCTTCTCTAGATCCCCTTAAATCCTTCCCAAATCCCAAATTCCCGGAATTCCACGTCCGGAATCCTTAATTAGCCTCATTTCCCGGAGCTGTGGGGGAGACTGAGTCACTTCCACCCCCTCCGCTCTGACTCAGCCCTTCCTGGAGCCCTCGGGGTTGGATTTGGGGCCCTCCCCTCGGAGATTTTTGCTCCAGGATGGGATTTATTGACCCAAAAGTAGGGAATTTTATCCCAGAATGGGAATTATTTATCCAAAATGGGAATTTTTTTACCCAAGGCGGGGTTAAATCCCCCAACCTGTTTGGGAAGCTAAGCAGGATCAGGCAGGGTCACGCCTTGGATGGGTTCCCCAACCCGACTATGGAATATTTACCCCAAAAAGAAACTTTTTTCCCCAAAAATCCCCTGATTGGGGATTTATTTACCCAAAACCAGAGGAAATTTTATCCCAGAATGGGAATTATTTACCCAAAAATGGGAATTTTCTGCCTCAGGGTGGGTTAATTTCTCCAACCGGTTTGGGAAGCTAAGCAGGATCAGGCAGGGTCACGCCTTGGATGGGTTCCCCAACCCACCTTAACCCATCCTCTAATCCCACCTCAGACCACTTTTCCCATCGGGAATTTTTCCGGAATTCCCAGGAATTCCCTCATCCAGCTGAGCCCTGACCCCACCCCTTTAATGTTTTGGTTTTTTTTAACCCCTTCAGGTGCGTCGCCCCCTCCCCTCCGAAGAACCCAGCGCTGCCAAACGACTCCTGGTGCTGCTCTTGGCCGTGGTGGGCACCCAAATCTACAACGCGCCGGGGGACGTCGGCGTCACCGATGTCATCACCGATGTCACTGAGACCCCTTTGGGGACACCCAGGACCCTCCCAATTCCAGAGGAGCCCCAAATTCCCGCCGGGAACGCCGGGATAGCCAACGGGACGACGCCGGTGGCGCCCGTGGGTGGCTCCTGTCCCTCTCTGTGGGTGTCACCTCCTTTGTCACCCCCCGGTGGCACCCAGGACTGGCACCCCCCTCTCATCCTGGCTTAATTAACCTTAATTAATTAAGGTCGAAGAGCTCCGGGTCGGAAGGAGACACCGACGTTGGGATTCGGAAGCTGAGCCATCCCAGTTTGGCACTGGGAGCACTGGGAAAGGGGGTGGAGCCATGGATTTTCCCATCCCTTCATTAATTAGCTGGCTAATTACCCTCTTAATTAATGACCGGCTCATTAATTAGCCCCCAGTTGAGGCGGGAACGAACCCGACGTTGGGATTTGGAAGTTGGTCGATCCCAGTTTGGCACTGGGAGCACTGGGAAGGGGCGTGGTCAGGGTGGCCTCGTTAACGAGGCTTAATTAACGACGTCACCTCTACCTCAGCTTCAGCGCCGGTGGGTGCTGAGTTTATGAATTAATTATTTAATAATTATTTAATAATTATTTGTTGCTATTTATTTATTAATATGTGTTCGCTATTTATTTGTTATTTATTATTTATTTGTGAATATTTATTAAATATTTATTAATTACCTCCTAAAGATTGTTTTTCATTAAATTTGACGGGGTATTTAATGTTTTTAATTAATGAAATTCATCAGTTGAATTAATTAAGGGGCGTCGTGTCTTTATTGAGAGTTTCCTGTGGTCAGAACGAGGGGAGGAAAATGACGGAAATTCCCAATTTTTTGGGAATTCAATCCCTAAAATTTTTTGGGGGGAGGAAAAAAAAAAAAAACGGAAAATCCCAATTTTTTGGCATTTTCAGCCCAAGCCGGATTTTTATTGACCCGACAAAGAAAATACAAAGAAATACAAAGTCACAAAAGTAACAAAAAACCAAAAAAATTCCATTATTTCCTTAAAAAAAACAAACAAACAAAAAGTTAAAAAAAGCTCGAGTTCGCTCCCGTTTTTTGGGAAAAACCTGGAAAATCCAAAGGAAAATCCAGATTTTCCTCCTAAACTCACATTTGGTGGCATTCAAGACCCAAACTTGGGATTTTTTTCCCAAATTTTTATATTTTCCTCAAAATTCTAATATTCCCACAAATTTTCCTGATTTTTTTTTCCCCAAACTTTGAGGTTTTTTTCCACCAATTCCGAGGCTTTTCCTGGAATTATGAGGGTTTTTTTCCCAACTTTCCAGGGTTTTTTCCTGGAATTTTGAATTTTTTTCACCCAATTTTGGGTGGGTTTCCCAGATTTCGGTGTTTTTCCCAAATTTCCGCTGGGTTTTCCCAAGTTTTTTTGGGGTTTTTTTCCCCAAATTTAAGAATTTTTGGAGGGTTGGGAAGAGCCCCCAGTTTTGGGTTGGGCAATCCCAGTTGGGCACTGGGAGCACTGGGAATGCCGGGAAGTGACCGGAACCACGGAATGCTGGGAATTCCTCAATGGATTAATGAATGGATTCACCCCTAATTAATTAATTAGAGATCGTTAATTAGCCAAGGGAACGAGTTGGGACCAATCCCAACGTTGAGTCTTGGGATCGACCAATCCCAGTTGGGCACTGGGAGCACTGGGAATGCTGGGAACCACGGAATGCTGGGAATTCCCCACTTAATTAATGAATTAATGAATGAATTCATCGCTAATTAATTTGAGATCATTAATTAGCCACAGGAACGAGTTGGGACCAATCCCAACATTGAGTCTTGGGATTGACCAATCCCAGTTGGGCACTGGGAGCACTGGGAATGCCGGGAAGTGACCGGAACCATGGAATGCTGGGAATTCCCCACTTAATTAATGAATTAATGAATAAATTCACCGCTAATTAATTTGAGATCATTAATTAGCCACAGGAACGAGTTGGGACCAATCCCAACGTTGAGTCTTGGGATCGACCAATCCCAGTCGGGCACTGGGAGCACTGGGAATGCCGGGAAGTGACCGGAACCACGGAATGCTGGGAATTCCCCACTTAATTAATGAATTAATGAATGAATTCACCGCTAATTAATTTGAGATCGTTAATTAGCCATGGGAATGAATTGGAACCAATCCCAACGTTGGATCTTTGATCCCAGTCGGGCACTGGGAGCACCGGGAACGCCGGGAACCCCCCCCATCCCCCCACTTAATTAACCCCCAAACCACCCACCCTAATTAACCCCTCCACTAATTACCCACCGAACCCGCCGGAAAACCCGGCAACGCCCGGCCCGGCAACGCCAACGCCCAGGGCAGCTCCAACGCCGCCGGCACGGCCGAGGAGCCCGGGAACGCCGGGAAAGCCAAACCCCCGGGAAGCGCCGGAGCCGGAACCGCCCGCGAGGGCGACGAAGACGACGAAGAACAAACCTCAACTCAATTCCCAAATTTTTATATTTTCCCCAAAATCCCGATTTTTCTCCAAATTTTCCCCATTTTTATCCCCAAACTTTGAGGTTTTTTCGCCAAATCCCAAAGCTTTTTCTGGATTTTTTTCCGTTTTTTTCCCAAATCTCCCCATTTTTTCCTGGAATTTTGAATTTTTTTCACCCAATTTTGGGTGGGTTTCCCAGATTTCGGTGCTTTTCCCAAATTTCCGCTGGGTTTTCCCAAATTTTTGGGGTTTTTTTTTCCCCAAATTTAAGAATTTTTGGAGGGTTGGGAAGAGCCCCCAGTGTTGGGTTGGGCAATCCCAGTTGGGCACTGGGAGCACTGGGAATGCCGGGAAGTGACCGGAACCACGGAATGCTGGGAATTCTTCATGTTCCCAATGGATTAATGAATGGATTCACCCCTAATTAATTAATTAGAGATCGTTAATTAGCCAAGGGAACGAGTTGGGACCAATCCCAACGTTGAGTCTTGGGATCGACCAATCCCAGTTGGGCACTGGGAGCACTGGGAATGCTGGGAACCACGGAATGCTGGGAATTCCCCACTTAATTAATGAATTAATGAATGAATTCATCGCTAATTAATTTGAGATCATTAATTAGCCACAGGAACGAGTTGGGACCAATCCCAACATTGAGTCTTGGGATTGACCAATCCCAGTTGGGCACTGGGAGCACTGGGAATGCCGGGAAGTGACCGGAACCATGGAATGCTGGGAATTCCCCACTTAATTAATGAATTAATGAATGAATTCACCTCTAATTAATTTGAGATCATTAATTAGCCACAGGAACGAGTTGGGACCAATCCCAACGTTGGATCTTTGATCCCAGTCGGGCACTGGGAGCACCGGGAACGCCGGGAACCCCCCCCCAT